CCAGCTGTGTAACATGTTGCATAATTCAAAGCAGCAGTTATGTGTGATTAATATAATGTCAAATTTATTCCTTATACCCTTCAGTAGAATTCATGTTTTGGTGATGTCATGCTTGATCATTACATTAATTAAGTGAAGAATTGGAAGATAGACATGTTTGTTTCATGGCTGCATTAAATAAAGATCTGTGCAGTACTACAGGTATGCAGGTTGAAAAGGATAAATTGGTGAATTATGCAGAATATTTGTTTTTCTATTGTGTTTTTTATAAAAGTCAATAGTAATCAGGTACTGGTGTGTATATTTTGAAAAATATAAGAATATCCACAATTATGAACTCTACCATAGATCTAAGAACCTGCATGAATTTGAACCCAACCGTAATTATATGCATACACACAAATCTGAACTTACCATAGATCTAAGAATCTCCACAAATCTGAACCCTACCATAGATCTGAAAATCTCCACAAATCTGAACCCTACCATAGATCAGAGAATCTCCACGGATCTTAACCCTTAGAGTGACCTTAGATCTGAAAATCTCCACAAATCTGAACTCTACCATAGATCTAATAAATCTCATCAAATCTTAACCTTACCATAGATCAAAGAATCTCCACAAATCTATACCCTACTATAGATCTGAGAATCTCCATGGATCTGAACCCTACCGTAGATCTGAAAATCTCCCCAAACCTGAACCTTACACTAGATCTGAAAATCTCCATAAGTCTGAACCCTTCATTGTTAAACACAAAGTGATCCTGAGTCTATCTCTAACCCTGCAGCAGTATTGAGTGTTTAACGAGAGAGGCGGGCTGCACCCACTCACTTGTCAGATAGGTTGATGTGTCACTGTCTGCATGCTGGTCGTCATGCCTCAATATTGTCAGCTGTAATTGATGGCCTGAGAACTTGTCCTGAATATGTACGTCCATGAATGAACACCGTGGTGCACTGAGGTGCACACTGGATATTTGTTGAGATTGGTGAGGTTTGTTATCTGTAAATGTGAGGTTTTAGGGGAGGTACAACTTTTTGTCTTTTTAGTTTATCTTGAGTTGCTTTGTAACTAGTTGAGTTTCAACAATACACATGTCGTGGGACATTACTTGAACTAAAATGCAATGGTTGAGATACAATATGGAAATTCTAGCAATTGGTAGCATATCCCTAGCAACAAATGACAGTCTCAAGAGACCACTGAATGCTTTAGTTTACCAAGCAGGAACTTACGTAAGATTTTAAAATAAGTGCTCTTGGCAGGCAAATATGGGGATAAAATCCCCATTTTGTTCAGAATTGAGATTCTTTAAAGTTATTTTTAAAAAAGTTATTTTAAGTCTATTCCTATTTATTTGTGGTCTACAAGTGTTTTTTACAAAGTTGTAACACTAGTTTTGGCTAGATCGGCATGAACTGGGAATATATATTTCAGTCTGGGAATTTTTCAGATATTTGCTGCAGATATGGGGTTGAATATTGACCTTTGAGCTGATATGGGCAAGCCTCTGTCTTGATGACATGTTCAAGGTCCCTGTTGCTCAAAATATCAACCACTGGTGACTGAAATTTGATGGCAGCCTGAAAATAAATGCGTGTATACTCGGGATTAGTAGCTTAAGTCCAAGACTGAACACATGACCTTCCATGCTTGTTCAATAACCTGTGGCCATTTTCCAGTTTGCCTTATTAGTGCATGGGCTTATGTAGCAAAAATGCTTCCCATGGGAAGTGCATGTTAATTTTTTGGAACCACTGATAATTGTGATCAGTATTGCATGGGGATTCAGAAAAAACATGGTTCCATTTTGTTTGTGTGTGGTGTGTGTGTATTTATGTGTTAGCATCTTTACTCAAATACTACTAGATGGATTTCAATGAAACTTTCTGGATCTCTTGGGTATGTCCCCAGGACAAATCAATTAGATGTTGAAAAAGTACACTCTTCAAAACAAGAAACGCAAAAGCAATATCATTGACAAATTTGGTCTTATTCAATTATGTAAATTAACGAAAATAAACGGTACAGCATTGAAATTATGTAGAGCAATACATTGGTATCTCGTGCACATTTCACAAGAATGACAGTCATCATGGTCATTACTGCTGTCCACGAGGTGACGTTGACGTTCTGCCTTGTATGGCCACCTCACTGTGCTAGAACTGCACGACACCTCCTTGTCACTGATTGAATCAGTTGTTGGATGTTTTGTTGTGGAATCCTCCATTCCTCCTGCATCATGTTGAAAAACAGTTACTGTTAAAGCCTCAATGGCGGATTACGACGTTGACGTACACGTCTATCTATCTGATCCCACATGTAATCAATTGGTCTCAGATCTGGGGATCTGGAGGGCCAGGGGAGAACATCGATGTCGTTATTGTCCAGGTAGTTCACTGTAGCACATGCTGTGTGAGGTCTGGCATTGTCCTGTTGGTACAGCTCTCTTTGGCGGTCGACAAGACGATGCACGTGAGGACAGAGAATATAGTTGGTATATCTCGCGGACGTAATATTGCCTTGGACGAACACCAACTCCAATCTGCAGGTGTATGAGATGGCTCCCCACATCACACCATCTCCACCAAATCTGTCGACTTGCCTGATGCAGTTGGATGCAAAATGTTCATTGCATGGTCTGTAGACACGTTGTCTTCCGTCACGTTGCTTGAGGTGCTACCGCGATTCATCACTGAATCATATGTGCCTCCAGTTTCCAAGGTTCCATGGCTGCACCGCGTTACACAACCTGACTCACGGATGTTGATGTAATCGTGTCAGAGAGGGGGCAACTTGTGGACGTCTGGCACGCATACCTACCTCTCGGAGACTGTTCCTGATTGTCTGGTCGAACATTCTCCGGGCTCCAAACCGTTCTTGTGCTGTGTTCCGGGCGGAATGATGGCAGTCACATAGGTGGGTTACCCAGATGTAGCGATTTTGGGCTGTGTGGTGACTCACGGTCTACCTGGTCTTGGATGGTCATTTGTCGAAATGGAATGCACAAAAAGATCCCACAAACGAGTTATTGTGCTGGGATGAATGCTGAAGGTCCTCGCCATGACACTCTTGGATTCACCAGCTTGTAATCGTCCAATGGCAATATTTCGGTGGGCACCGTTGAGACGTCCCATTTTCTCATCCAATATTTGCAAGGGTCTTTGATGAATTTGCGAGATGCATTTGGGTCTTTTATAGTCTTAGGTTGCACACGAAAAGCAATAATTGCGGCTTTTGGTTGTGTTCCATACGAGTCAAGCTCATCATGACAACCATGATTGATAAAACCATTCAAAATGCTTAATTTGACATTTGCGTACTAACTTTCATTTTCTCTTTTGAAGAGTGAATGTTAAAGTACATGTACATAGAGGTACTTTGAAAATAATCGCAATGTTAAATAAATGGAGAATATGAATGATAACTCAAAAAGTTATGGATGGATTTGAATGAATCTTGGTGGTTATGTTAGGTATGACACAAGGGCTATCTGCGTCCTGTTTGGTGAAAGTAAATTGAAGTACAAGTACACAGTAGTACTTTAAAAATGTAATAGTGAAAGGTAATTGCTGTGCAAGGCGGAGGCATGTTCTCTAACGAGGAATCTTCTAGTTTCCAAATTAAGCAAAAAAATCATACTTGTGTTTGTATGACAAATAATGTCGAAGTTTGTATTTCAACAGCATATTTTGTTCTTGCAGGTTAATGATGGATTGATTAACTATGCAAGTTACTTAACAATGTGAAAGTTAAAATAAATATACTAGTGCACATTATATATTGCACTTGCATACCCCAGTTGTAATATGTAGTTATCTGTTTACTGTGATATAATTTGTCACTGCTTTATTAATGCATTAAGTTTGTATTGACTGCAGATTTGGCTTTATGTCATTTAATTACCCAGACACGAGTGTCACTTGTGCACGACTATATGATAGTCACATTAACCTTACCTGGGTACTATTAGTACTACATAAGTGTGTCATGGTAGTATATATTATGAAATGTGATAATACATTAACTGAATAAATGGTTTCCCTTGATATAGGCCAATACTTACAATGTTGGTGTCCGATGAAGGAAAGAGAATATTTGATTAATTTATATGATTATGTCATATTTTATGTCACCAAATTGAAATTAGAAAAATATCATGTGGTTGTCTCTATGTCATACATCATAAGCTGCATTTTGATATGCTACATGACTATGTTGTGATAGGTTTATGAAAACATATTTTTCTCGAAATGGGCGTCGCAAGCAATTTTGGGAACTCATATTCAATCACCCCACAATGACACTTATAGCATACAGAAAAAATGGAACCATGTTTTTCTTGAATCCATACACAACAGGGATTACAATTAGTATTGGTTCCAAAACTTAACGTGTAATTCCCACGGAATTACATAAGCCCCTGCACTATATGTCATGTCAAAACCGAGTGATGAGCGAACTATCATGCTGTCTGTATAGTCTTTCGTTTCTGAAACTGATCTTGACTGGTTTTGAATATATTTAAAGCAGATCATTGTGTAATGATGGGTGAGTTGTGTGTCCTTGAGCAGTTCAGCTCCATCACCCACTGGCAGCTTTTCACAAAGGTCAAGGTCAAAGTTGCCCTTTCAGCTTTTGAAGACTCTTGACTGTCACAAGGTGGTGTCACCATTACAACTGGGGCAAATCAGGGTGAAAGATTTCCAAGCTGATATCCTGAACTTCCCCTTCCAACCTAACTAACGTTCAGTCCAAGAAATAAGGCCTTCTCATTCAAAAATATATATCAACAAAATAACAAAATGAAATTGAAATGGATGCCAATACGATACTTTAATTTTTAGGAAAGTTGGGGCTATCCACATTTACCAAATTGTTCAAGACTTGGTGGATTCATTTATAATTTAATCTCTAGGATCTGAGAGACCGACTACATCCAACTATGTATATACAGAAATTTGGAGTCTGTTAAGTTTGTGTTTTACATTTCCAGATGACGGCAGAGGTTGTACCAGTGTCTCGGCTGTCATCCTGCAAAGATGAGGAGTTCGACAAAGTCATCAAGGAAATGTCGCTTCAAGGTAATGTACCATTCTTCATCCGCACACGGGGCGGTGGGGTAGCCTAGTGGTTAAAGTGTTGGCTCGTCACGCCGAAGACCCGGGTTCGAATCCCTACATGGGTACAATGTGTGAAACCCATTTCTGGTGTTCCCTGCCGTGATGTTGCTGGAATATTGCTAAAAGCGGCATAAAACCAATCCCTACATGGGTACAATGTGTGAAACCCATTTCTGGTGTTCCCCGCCGTGATGTTGCTGGAATATTGCTAAAAGCGGCATAAAACCAAAGTCAGTCAGTCAGTCATCCGCACACCTATCCAGAGATGCGTCCATGTTCGTGGGTTTCATCAGAGTTGTAAACGTCTAAGACCTGCATTACTTCTGTCCTTCTTTGGGTAGCTTAGTGGTTAAAGCGTTCACTCATCATGCTGAAGACCTGGGTTCGATTCCCCATATGGGTCCAATGTGTGAAGCCCATTTCTGGTGTCCTCCCGCTGTGATATTGCTGGAATGATGAAAAACTTAGCAATGCTTTGGATTCTTGGAGTAGAATCACCAATGCAAGAGATTTCTTTGACATGGACCAGCTTGTTATGGTTGAAATAAGTTCTCTATAATTTTACACAACCTCCTAGTTGAGCCAGTTTAGCTTCTTATTCTTTTGAATGATTGGTGAATTCCTGGCTCTGATTCTACTACATTGTGAGTCATGATAATGGTTCAACCGGTAAGATTTCAGGCATGTAATCAGAGCATTGCCGACGGTGTGCTAATCCCTTTCATTCATCGCCATAATCTGGGTGACATTGCTGGGATCTTGTCCAGGCTGAGACTGTAGAGGTATGACTATCTGCTGTAGTGTGACGTGATCTACCTGCCCGCCCTGGTAGTGAGTCACTCGTGTTGTCTCCATCTGTCTCATCACGTTAACGTATGTTCCCACACACTCTCTTTGTATGCCTTTAACATTCAGAGTTTATTGCTGTACCGTCAACCTCGTACACTCATAGGTTTTGTTGGGTTTATGGGAAAGAATGGGTCACCGGTACCCCGTGGTTGAGGTATGAGCTGCTGAAACTGGGCAATGGATGGTTGTCATCGTACTGGGTGTGTGGATGGTTGTGGCCGTTAATTGTTTTTGTGGGACAGACTCACTGAACGGTAGACTAACCCACTTACTTGAGCGTAATAACAACGGTTTAAATCTCGTTCACTCACTCACTCACTCACTCACTCACTCACTCACTCACTCACTCACTCACTCACTCACTCACTCACTCACTCACTCACTCACTCACTCACTCACTCACTCACTCACTCACTCACTCACTCACTCACTCACTCACTCACTCACCCACTCACTCACCCACTCACTCACCATTAGGGAGAACGAAAGCTTGATTTACAAATTCATTTCTCTTTTGTTTATTTTGCCTGAAACAGGAATTTTCACAATAGGTGAAACCGTTAAGAAAGGGTGTAAAAGGGTTTTCACTCACTCACTCAGTATCACTCACTCACTCACTCACTCACTGCTGCACACTTCATGTTATGTTCAGCATCAGTTAGCAAATGTGTATGAATATTCATCAAATATCAGTAATTGTGTATTCAAAACCCTGTTAGTTTTAAATGCTTCGCATCACTAAGCATGGCAAGCCCAGCACTGTTTTTGATGTACACCATATACGATAATTTTGTTGGACATGTTTGATTCGTATCACATATCATGACTTTCATGAGCTGTTCCTGGATGTCTAAAACCCTGTAGAAACAAACATTTTCATCAGCTGTTCAGAGATGTCAAACCTTTGGAGACACACACACACACAAAACCTTGTGAAGCAACACAGTATATTGTGTTTGATGACATGACCCGTTCTACTGCTAGTGTGTTGTGTCAGGGTCATGTGACATGCTTCATTAAACCAAGAATGTTGTCAGTGCTTGAAAGTGAATGGAATACTGCCCAGCAACTAGAGATCTAGGGATCGGCTTCATGGTGTGACAGTGGAGCTTGGTAAGCCTTGTGGAGGACTCCTCACACCAATTAGATGTCAGGAGCTTCTATTAGAGGGGGCAACTGGTAGCCTTGTGGTTAAAGTGTTTGCTTGGATCACTGATGGCCTGGGTTTGATTCCCCACATGGGTACAGTGTGTCAAGCCAGTTTCTGGTGTCCCTTGTAGTGATATTGTTAAAAGTGGTGTACATCTTTACCCGCCCATTCACTCATACAAGACATCAACAACACAACCTGGATACAGAATGGACCTGTGGGAGGGTACAATTCCTAGACAATCCGGCGCACTGCAACACTTTGTGCCATATGTGTATCATGTGGTCGTGTAATAATACAAATATATACTACATATACTACTCAAAAAGGGTTAAGGACCATCTGATTCTTTCATATTACTTCAGCACCACACTCTGACAGATTACCTGTGATAAGATGACCGAATTGAGTGGCCCTTAACGTTTTTCAAGAAGGAGAGGTATTTAAATACATGTGAAATGGAGTCAAGTGAATTGCAAAATCTCATTCTCAAGTCAGTGTTGTATAGCTTGCTCAAAATACCAGAAAATGTTTTGACATGCCTCTTATTGTCTTAAGTTCCTTGCGTCTTCTGAACATGACACCCAGCAGCCTTTGCTTGTTGGAAATGGGAACTTAATGGATTGAATGGTCAGGCTCCATGACTTGTAGATGGCATGTCATTCTACCTATGCAATGTGTGTCGTTGCTCATGATACCATTCACTGGAACGTCTAGTCCACTTTTGATTATTAACAAGCTGCAGTCTTGTAGCTGGAGTGCAGCACTTAACATCATCAAACACCCACTGTAAATCTGGTGATGTCATTAAACAGATTTATTACAAAAGAGTTAAGATGAAATATCTATTTACTGCAACTGAAATTTTCAAAGTTAGAGTGTTAGATCTGTAAGTACTCAAGCCTTAATTGAGCTGTGGTAAGCAGCTGGATTCAAACAATGGCAAGTAACAAGTGCTGAAAGTCACCGTCAACTAAGACACCCAAAGAATAACATTAGCATTGTCGGAAATTTTCTTTTACAAACACATAGTATCCCTCATCTGAGCTGGAACAAAAGCCATCTCGACACGTGTTCACACTTGACTTGGGAGTGTGAGATGGGCCCAGGTATGTTGGTGTGTCCTTTGAAGTGTTGTTCCTCTGTCCCAGTGATATGGGCTCACTATGTGGGCCTGACTATAGACCGAATGTTCAGGCCTCAGCTGAGATCAGCTGGCCAAGACTGGATTAGTTGACTGGCATTGACTTAACAGTCTTGTTCTGTTGTTGTTTGAAGTTGTACTGGTGTTTTCTTAAAAATGTTTCCTGATGTTGAATAATCATTTTTGTACATGCATTGTCTCAAGAATCTTGAACTGGGGTTGTCTCATGAATCTTGTTCTGGTGTTTTCTCAAGAATCTTGAACTGGCATTGACTCGAGAATCTCGTTCTGGTGTTGTCTCAAGAGTCTTGAACTGGCATTGACTCGTGAATCTTGTTCTGGTATGGACTGAAGAATCTTGAACTGGCATTGACTTGACAATCTTGTTCTGGTGTTGTCTCAAGAATCTTGAACTGGCATTGACTCGAGAATCTCGTTCTGGTGTTGTCTCAAGAATCTTGAACTGGCATTGACTCGAGAATCTCGTTCTGGTGTTGTCTCAAGAGTCTTGAACTGGCATTGACTCGTGAATCTTGTTCTGGTATGGACTGAAGAATCTTGAACTGGCATTGACTTGACAATCTTGTTCTGGTGTTGTCTCAAGAATCTTGAACTGGCATTGACTCAACAATCTTGTTCTGGTATGGACTTGAGAATCTTGTACCAACATTGTCTCAATATCTTGTTCTGTCATTGCCTTGAAAATCTTGTACTTATGTTGACTACAAAATTTTGCAAAATTGTTGACAGAATAAGTCATGTACTGTCATATGCTACCCTTGACTGGTATCTTAATGGAAAATGTTCATCTTGTTGAGAAGAAGATCACCTAATGCTAGACCTGCAGTTTCGGACTGCTTTTGAGAGTGATTATGACCAGACAAGGTGGACTCATTTGTTTTGAGGGCTTGATCAGGTATCCATGTTTCAAGATAGCACTATCTCTGCATCTACACTTATTGTGGAAAAACACTCAAATTTGGAACACCCTAAATAGTGCATATGTGTTTTTTTCTTGTATACAAAACACATTTCAAGGGTCAGATGATGCAGATATATCAGGATATTTATATTGCTTAAGGCCAAGGGTCCACACAATATACATCGATTATCCATCGCCACATTCATCGATAGTATCTGTGATATATCCCTACGCCGATACAACTTCAATACTTTAGGCAATATATCAGTTGTATCGCAAGGGTCCAGTATTGCATTAGGAATAGGAAGGGAGTCTCTTTGAAATTTACTTCTAAGAATTTTAAAAATAGGAAGGGAGTCTTGAACCTTTTTTTAAAATTTGTTTGTGTCTGTTACCTTTGTTACATGGACAAACGAGTTGGTGTATAAGTGAAAGAGTGTGAACATTTTTCAAACTCTGTGAACTGTAGAATACTTGTCTTTAGTAATTGAAATATGTTTTAGTTGTTTGACAAATACCACCATTTATTAACATACACGAACGATGTCTTAGCTTTGTTAAGAAAGATAACAAAGAGAAGATAAAATTTAGAAAGCATATCAAGAGTTTTTTTCAGTGATTCTGAATTCTGATATAAATTACATTCAATTGTTTGTTAAAGCATCGGTGCAGAAACACACCTTCCCGAAGGAAACTTCAGTTTCAAACTTATATATGTTAGATCAAAGTATACTCAATGTGTTTGACTTTACTTTAAAAGCATTAAATGCTGAAACTTTATTAAATGAACAGCTTTTTAAGTGTGTGTGAATGTAACACAAGTTCAGCTGTATAACAAATAAAGTTTCAGTCATTTTATCTATCATATATGTTCTGCTATTAGAAATTGTAAAGTA